CGTGATTTTCAAAAGATCAGAATCGGGAGAAAAAAATCGGGGATCGGGATTTAAAAAAAAAAAAATTTCTTTAATAAATACTTCTTTTTTTTTTTTGTATTCAATGTTACAAAACAAAAAGGACCATGTTCAAGTCTTAAAGTCATCCTGAGGCCTTAGTTTTGGTTTCAAATTACACAACATCATGTATGTGTTGCTTCTTTGGGGCTTGTTTTCATAGACCTGGTTGCTTATTTCTCTCAAATCTGGCAACAGAGTGGGCAGGGCGCAGTGTCTAATTGTAGCAGTAAGCTAACGAGTACTGAAAGCTTTATTTTGTTTTGATCCAATGCTGCACAACTGAACTGATCCAATGCTGCTGTGAAAGAAAGAAGCTATATCCATGTTGGATAGAATATCCAATTTAAATAAAAAAATAACCTTAAGGGACAACTTGAATGCTTTTTTTTGCTCTTAATGCATTGCATAAAGATCGGATCGGGAAAAATCAGTATCGGCAAATTGTCAAAATCAAATGATCGGAATCGGATCGGGAGCAAAAAAAGGTGATCGGGACATCCCTATTACTGATGATTATTTATCACATTTCTCATTGTGCAAATACTTTGAGAAAGCATCATTTGGTAAAAGCTGCAATATAGACAGAGGTTTTCTCATAAAGAATATCCAGATATCAGATTTGTTTTTCATATATAACTCAGCATGGAGAGGTGTAGCTCCTACCTGCCTTTTATTTTGCAGCGAGGGACAGAAAGGTTGATCTTGCTGACAAACAGCAGCAGATTTGGCCTCATCAGCACAGAGATCTGCTCCAAAGCACTACTTCACTCTGTGGTCCTGTCAGCCAATCAGGAATCAGATCTGAACACTTTGGATTCAGTCTGTCATTTAGAACAGAATTACACCTCTTATCCTCAGACACACAGCAACTATACCTACAATAACTGTACTACTGTTACACTAACACTTATGCACACTGGTATAAATATATCCACACACAACTATTTGTAATTAGATCGTCCTTTTAAGCAACAAAGCCATATATTTGAAGGCTCCAGGGTCTCAAATATAAGGTTTTGATGCCTTTCTTTGTTATAGATTACAGTAAATGTAATAATTTTGGACTGGTCAAATAAAACATGACATCTGATGAAAATTCCCTGCCTGTGGGAAAATATAATTGGCATTTGTACTAGGTTTTGAACAGGAAATCGTTGTTAATAGTCGCTGCAGCCCTACACTCATCATTCAAAGTGACAGTCGGAGTGCAGGTGCCGTAAAACCTCAAATGTATCAGAGTTATTCAAGTTGTTATGAAACAAACATTAAAAACATATCTCACCAAATAAATCCCACACATACGCTTCTTATTTTTCTGCGCACATGCAGTAACATGCATACGAGCACAATAATATCATATTTTTTGTTTATTAATATGTTTTCATTGCCTCTGATTTGACGACAACTCATCAATTCTTAGCAAGAAGGCAAACTTCCAAGTGGTCAAACAACAGGACTTCAAAGTTGATCACATGATCCACGATCAAAGACCTGCTACGAGCACTAATGCAGATGATTCAAAGTTAATCAGATAGCTTAAGCAGAACAGACCACAAGCTGTGCGTTTGGCAAAAACACAAAGCAGCAGTGGTATGCCCACAGCCTCTAGGGTGTAGATGTTCTCCTGCAGTGTCACTAAAGAGTGTGAAATGTTCTGCTGCGTGGCCGTCATGAGACACATGGGACGCATCAGAGTCAAAGAGCACTAAGGTAATGTCAGCTCACATGCACCTTGCTATTCAAAACAACTAGTTAGGGTTTTAACAGAGCGGTGTGGTTAAACTGAATACAAAAGGTAGAGTACTTTTCCCGTTCAGTTCCGATAGTTCCTGGGATTTTGCGTTCACACCAAAAAGAGAACTTAGTTAATGTGAACTTTTAGCCCCTTTTTTAGTGCCTGCTAGAGAGGTGGGACTATCCTGGGGAGAAAAAAGTTCCAATTTCTGATTGGCTGGGCGAATTGCAAACCACGCCCCGTAAAACTCGGAAAGGTTTTGTGAAGCCGCCATTGTATTTGCTGGCATTAGCATTATTAGCATTAGCCCCGCGCACCAACGGAGAGAGACTAACTAATGGCAACACAAAAGAAAACATGGGAGCGGTGGAGATGAGGAGGTGTCGGCGTTCTGGCGATTTACTCAGAAGGCTTCAGTAGAAGCTGCTGGGAGTCCCAGCAGCTTCTACTGAAGCCAGTCCCCAACTCCGGGGACTTCGGGCCGGGGACTCCGGGTGGCAGTATACTCCGTGAACAACCTGAGTGACGCATTCTGGTGAGATCAGGTTGGCCGTGAAGTGGTTTGCGGCCTGCCAGTAAACCCAAAGCAGAAGAAGAAGAAGTGACGTTGCGTGATCTTCCCTCAGGGAACTTATTCCGGTGTGAACGCGATCGGCTCTTAGTCCCATGGAGGAACTAAGTGCTGGGAGCTAAGTACGGCAAAGTACTTGGTGTGAAAGCGGCTAAAAGGAGTACTTCAACATGTTTAATTACTGGAATACAAAGAGGCTCTAGCTTATTATTCTATTTATTTCTGTTACACAAAGTTGTTCTACTAGTAACGACAATGGTGCCGCTTGAAAAATCACATTTAAAGCTTAAATGTGCAACTTTACACAGTTTGTTGCTCTGCTGAGCTCTTACAGGCAACTGAAAGGATTTTCAAAGTACCTTAAATATGGAAAAGATGTTGTGGAAAATAAATCTTAACTATTTGGCTTTCCTTAAGAGGAAGACAACAAGAAGTTACATGACTATTGGCGAAAAGTACAGAGCCATAGTAAAAAAATGTCATGTGTCAGACACACCCAAATAAAAGCTTTTACACACTCGTATAATGTTTAAAATATGCTGAAGAGAAACAAGTGGAATCAAGTCTTTCTACTTCCCAAGATCTGTCTTCTTTATTATAAATAGTATGTCATATTGGATTTGAATGGAAATGTCTGTTCTGCTCCTGTTACATTTCTATATTGAATCTATTATTTCTCTAACAGACTGCCATGATGTCGACACCTGGCTGCAAAGAGATGTCGGGTGAAACTGTGACACCTTTGCTGTGTAAGCCAGTGTAAGCCAGTGTGCTGTACTCACCCACAGACTGGGCAGCTTTGGTGTTGAGGTCCCGGGCGCAGACGGCGGTGCCGGGGCCACAACTGGTCGACGGTGAGGACTCACAAAGCCTTAGCGTGTAGCCGACTTTATTAACCTGGTCTATGGCCTCCCATTTATAACTGCAACACAAGAAAAGAAACAAATTAAGTAAAGAAGATGGAGAGGAGTTTGAACTGCAGCGTTAAATACATTTCATTTTTCCTTTGTTGTTAATTTAAAGAGCTCAGTGCAATGGCGAGAGCAGCACCTATGATTTTTACAATTAAGCAGCCGCTACTACTAAGACCATTTTCACCACCAATTCAAATAAATGCCCGCCAACGTGAAGTCTCAAAATTGCTTGTTTAGTCAAACCGATCCTCAAAAGGTATCTTATTTAAAATATTAGTATGTAGGGAATAAGCAGCAAAACTTTGTAACACATCTAAGCACAATTACCAGATGCAGTGTGTTTTAAAAAGTTAATATATCACACAAATAAAGATGTACTAGGTGTGTGAGCAATGTTTTTTCTGTTAGTTGTTAATGCTTTTTCTTGTCACACATGTGTTGTTTCTTATTTGCATGAACACTGAACCAAGAGTTTATGTTACAAAGTCCTGCATATTAAAAAATGACAACAAATTGTTTTTAGTTTAAGCACCTTCTAAAATGTCTCAACACTCAACCACAACTAGCTAGTCAAGAAAATGTACATAAGAACATGTATTTCTTGTAAAATATTAGTGTGACCCATTTCTGTAAATGCTACCAAAACAAGGAACTAACTAACAGCTGCAGCCTGAACTCACAGATTAACTTTCTGGTTATCTTTTCATTATTTCTGAGTCAATATTTGAACAGCAGCTCCATTAAAGTACAGCACTGTATGTAGACAACAGTGAATGCTATTTACTTTAGCTATAATATAACTGCACAGTGTTTTATAGCTGATTTATGGAAAGGCAAGTCATATAAACGAGTCATGTCAGTTTACGCTGCTAACAATTAGCGTTAGCTTGTTGACATGACAGATTTCATGTAACGTTAGCAGCTAGCTACGCGTTAGCTTGTTACAAAAACAACATATTGTTAAGTTCACTGCTTTGACTAGAGACCGTTTGAATTAGGATAGAAGCTAATTATATTCAAACGTTGTCAAGTTAACTGGTTTAAACATATCAAGTAGCACATTTAACACAACAAGACAATTGTTATTTGTAATCTACATGTTAGCTAGCTTGCACAAATGAAAGCTAATAGTATGAAATTAACATCTGATACATATATTGTAACTGAAACAAAGGGCTGACATTCATATTACATCAGTGGATCCATTGAAACCGGGTCAATAATAAGCAAATAACCACATGTAAGTATTCCTATTGTTATTACTGGCAGCTGTCCCTTAGCTAGACAATTAAGCTTCTGTAATACATCTGTAAATAACTGTACAATACATACTTCCACCTTTCATACTACCACCTGGCTGCTATCTCAAAACTGTTACTAGTACTGGATGTTTAAATTGTGTAAATTCTACATTTATCTTTAATATGTCAAAGCATGCTACTTAATTAATATGAATATTTGGCTCTTTACTTGCTGTAATAATGTAAATGTCCCCTATATGGGATGAATAAAGGCATATATTTAGCTAAAACATGTGTGTACATAAGGGTATAAAACGCAGTAATATGTTCCTTTCTGCAATGGGAGGTGTGTTTGTGAGCTGTTATTACCTGCAAAGGTCCTGGGGGAAACCGGCTCAATAAAAAGCAAATATCCACATCTAATCCTGCTAATATTTAGCTTAAACATTTGTGTACATGTTGTGTTTTGTTAGCTAGTATTACCTGCAGAGGTCCTGGTACCACGGGTTCTCCTCGGCTCCGGACCGGACCGACAAACACACCAGAACCGACACCGACCAAAGGACCAGCTTCAGAGGCGAGCATCGGTCAGATTTACCAAGAAATAACATGTTTTCTGCGGGGGATTCTGTCGGTGCAGACTAACTAAGACGACGACATGATACGGCAGAGTGGTCTTTCTGCTCTGGAGCAAATTGGTGAGGAAGTGAACGCACCACATGATAGGACGTCACATGACTCCCATGATGCTGACTGATGTTGCCTTCATGATCTGTGGGAAAATAGGAAATATTATTAAAAATGTTGCTTTTTTTTAATCTTATATTTGCTATCGATTTTTTAATGTTAAAGAATAAGTTGGTGAAATTATAATTTTTGGATGTGATCTACAAAATATATGTTTGATTTTATATCTTGTTTTACTGTCTTTTATGTTGTCTTTTGTATGTCATAAAGTTGTTAAACACCCAAAGATTAGATGTTTAACATTTATCTTAGAACATGAACGTCTTGTTTCTACATGGTACATGAACGCAGCATTCCTGAATGACTTTCATTGAACTACTTGTTGTAAGAACAAACGTCCCCACAAAAATAATAGGAATGCAGATCTAGTTTCAGACATATTGCTCTTTGTTCGATGGTACTTGAACACACCACCCATTATGACACATAGCCTTTGCCCCAAAGAGCAAACTTATTTTTATTCTACCTCAATCAGACCTAGATATGTAAGCATAATATTAACCCTATAAATAACATTATAATTAATTTAGTATAGTTTGTTAAGAGTCAGAATAATCTGCAGCTGTTCCTGAAAGTGACAACGTGGAGCAGAAATGCTTAAATAATAGCTAGTGCGCGCCTTCATGTGTCATGTGGCGCCCCCTGGTGGTCATATTGAACCACTACACAAACTCTCATCACTTACTAAAAGGACACTGCTTACTCAGGGCCAGCTGTCTAAACAGTGTTACATGTTGGGTATTTCCCACCTGTTATATTCACAGTTTCTAAAAGAGATAGCTTTTATTCAGAAATGTGGACACGTTTTTGCTGCTAAGAGCTCTTTTTGAATGATTTAGCTGACAGTATAGTGGTGACAGGAAATGGAAGCAATAAAAACATGCAACAAGCTCCTTTTCAAACTTGGGATTAGTGCGAGTGCACAGTCAGCATTTCCGACAAAATGTTTATTATAATTTATAATGTACCTATTGGAAGATGTTTTCCCTCTAGCATTGCTTTAAACAATCCTTGATCTGTGCAAACGTGTATTCAAAACGTTATTTAAACACATATGATGCTTCAGCAGTCTGAGTTAGCCAAATATAGTTCAAAAGTTGTTGTTTTTTTTATGACATTTTCTCTTTGAGTGTCTTTAGACTTAATAAGGGTGTCAAACTCAAATACACAGTGGGCCAAAATAAAAAAATGGGTACTAGTCCAGGGCCGGACTGGTTCAATGTTTATTGCAAAACGTATTGAAATGAACTTATTGCACATATTAAACCTGGAACTAACAAAGCTTAAATTATTGCCTCTAAAAACAACATTAAACATTAAATATGATTTAATGATTTGGCCCCCGGGCCTTGAGTTTGACACATGTGGTGTAGAATGTACAATGGTAGACTACATAAAATAAAAAAGGACTGTGGCAAATAAAAATAATACATGGACTCAACATGTATTAACACTTTTAATTTATACTACAGAACAAATATAACAAATAAAAAACAGTGGCCTAACAAATTGATTTTCTTTCATGATCATAGTAATCCCACCTCCTAAAAGTATAGGGAAAACAATACAAAACAGCATACAATCATATTTCAAAATCTAAACCTTAGCTTTCCATCATTAATTTCAATGAATGAGCAACCTTCCACAAAATCCACCACAAAAACCTCCTTTTCCATGAACAGGAATAACAGTCCAATGTCTCTTTATCGTCCTTTTCATTCATAATATTAATAATATTATTTATGGAAAGGATAATGCATTGAATTTGTGTGTAGGAAATAAACATACATTTCTGAATATGTTGTCCCGTACATCTTCCAACCTCCCCTCATAGTGTGCAATGTTTCTGTTATGGATAGTGAAAGGACCCAAATGCAGGTTGAACAGAGAAATACCTTTATTTCAAGGTGTAGGTGACTAAAACCAGAACACTCCCCTGTGAACACAGTCTCAGACAAACGAGAAACCAACAATGACAGACAGCAAAAACAGAACTTAAATACACACAAGACTAATAAACGAAACAAGAGACAGGTGAGGAGGGAGGAAAAAACACAGGGACACCAGGTGAACACAATCAAGTAAACAGGTAGGAGGGAACACACACAGTGTAAACTGTGTTCGTTATTCTCCCCGTCCAGGAGAGAAGCTTTAAAAGGAGACTAAATGGAGTCTCTGTGGAAGTTCAATTGGGTACTCTAATTAAAAAAGGCGCGGGTTGGTCACAAGCATGATATTGTTCAGTCAGCTGTGATCCGCTCCTCGTTAGGGAAGAGAAGAGGCCTATCTCTCCTCCGGTGCTGTTATATATCCTCTGCTGGCTCCTCCCCGCCAGCCGGCTCGCCTCGTCTCCAATGTCCGTTGTTGCATTTAAACAGAGGATTGGTTCTTTTCACATTCAATATATGCTTAACACGCCTTTTCTCCTCATATTCTCTCTCATCACTTTTCATGTAGCACATTCTAAACGCTGTAATCAATACTCTAAAAAATACTTCTCGGCTCGTTTGGTTTCCGGTCATTCCGGATGTTGTCACATGCTACTCTCGTCTGTAAACAATAATGTATTCAAATAAACTGTACCTTCATTTAATATTCAGCATGGTAGTATCTCGACATCTATAGTTGTAGTGTTAAATCAGTAGGCTTCGGTTTGCACCACTCCATATCATTTCGCTACTAAATTCACCTCTTTTGGAAATTGTAAATTTACCATATGCTAACTGCCACCCGGAGATGAAAGAGTTTCAAAATAAAGCTTAACAGCTGGTGTTGCACAAGAATTTCTGGTTTTTCAGTGTAAAACTGCATTAAAACTGACGGGATGTTTAAACTACATTTCCCCATTAA